GTGTGTAAGCACTTACTTTTCTTTAGGCCAATTAGATTAGAACGTTCTCAGCAATATTATCTAAAGACAAAGACACATACTGAGATATACATATATCCAAATAGACACAAGAGATCTCATAGCTTTGTTTTCCAAACTTAGTTATGAATTAGATATCACAATATAAAACTCACTAGCTGTAAACAACAGTTGGAATAAGAAGATAAACAACAGTTGGATTAAGAAAATTTTATAAATGCTTTATTCCTTTTTTTTTTTTTTTAGTTCTGATATACTTTCAAGCAATTTCTTGTTGGTTTCCTGCAAGGAAGTTACTTTTTTAAGAAGCTTTTAGATACCAAAGTAATCATGCTTGGCCTTTTCTAATTGTATATGCAAAAATATCAATTTTGGAATATAAAAGAACACCAATTTGGACATATTTGTTGAGATCTCCTTTAATATAATTTCCGCGAATAACTACATATTGCAAGTATGAGCTCTGTATGTATTATACATGAATCTGGCTGGAATGTTGAGTTTAGCTTTCTGACACCCCCTCATTTTTTTGAGATTCTGTTTTCCATTTTAAATTGAATTTGTCAGGGATAAAAATTCATAGTTGCTCAGCTTGAAAAATAATTTCATTGTCAAAATAGTGTAAATTAAGATAAAACTGAGGATCATTATAAAAGTATGAAAAATATAATAAAAATGAGAAATATTAATAGAAAAAAAATTCGTAGTGAAATTGTGTGGTGGGCCTGTGTGCTGTTTGTGAGCGTAACTCTTCCAGGAGTTACCCAGAGTCATTTCAGCTCAGATTCTCCCTATGGCAATCTAAGACCACCGTGGCTGCTCAGGTCGCTGAATGGCCAATTCTTATTGTGACCCCCCCCCCCAGACTAGCAAGCGTTTTAATTAATGAGTGAGTTTCCCTATGGGACCACTGCACAGTATGAGGACTAGGCCTCCACCACGTCTGTAAATTTCTCAGTCACCTGAGAAAACTGTAACCTGTCGGGAGGAGTCTTGTCCAATTTCTTCAGAGCAAAGTTCTCATATATTCTTCTCACTTTTATCCTGACAAATCCTACACTTTCAGTAGGCTCCAAACTCCTTTTTTCAGTTACAGGGTACCTGGCACCAGATACACTGCGTCTGGGCCCTGCAGATGCCCTCGCAGAAACCCACGCCACAGTCCTTGCTGCTAGGGTTGCAGGGCTGCCAGGTCCACTTCAGGTACTCGCTCCCCAGGCCTCCCTTCTTCACATTGTCTTTCTTTTTGGGCATCGTGGAGGTGAGCAACAGCAGGGAAGGGAGGGCCAGTAGGAAGCCTCGGAGGTGCATCTCACTTGCTGCCTGTGCTGCTCGCTCCCACCCGCGTCCAACAGTCAGGCAAATTGAGGAAAAGTATCAGATCTGCCTCTTACCTAACCACTCAGCCAAAACCACCCAGTCTTTTATAACTGAGTAACCCTTGGGTCCGTTTTTTTCATTTTTTTCCCCTGAACCCTCAACATTCTCCCCAGTGAACTATCTGGGGAATATCAGAGGAGAATCCCTATCTCCCCTTTTCTTGTTCCTTAGGCCTAGAAACTTATTTCCCATTCTGTTAGTCTCTGTGTTGTTTTTCCTATGCACTCAGCCTCCCAACACTGAAGGTTTCTTACACACACTCCCAGATTCACTTCATCCATCTCTGGTCATTTCCCTCTCGGGATGACGGAACAGTGGATTGGGAACCCTCACTTGCTTCATATCTAGGATACTTCTCAGTTACACACACTTGACCTCTGAGAATCCCCGACAACCAAGGCACTACTTAGTAGTCCAATTTTTCTACCTTGGCTTGTTTATGAGGTTGCCGTGGTGCCTGATTTCTCTTTTCCTGTGTCATCTCCAGTGTCCTCCAAATAACGGTCTCAGGTCTGTCTATGGCTTCTGTAGAGAACGGGGCGCATGGAAAGCAGGCCACCCAAAGTGGGGTGAGACATGTCTCCCCATTCTACTGGAGTCCCACCTCCATGCAGGCATAGAGATCCCAAACAAGGCCCCAAAACTGTGGGAAATAAAGCCCACTGGTCCAAAGCCAAAGAATGGAATTAAAGACACGAGGTGCAGTGGGAAGGAGTCTTTAATGCTGGTCTTACAAGATGAAGTGTCTAGTGGGCAGGCACACCCAGGGCAGTTAAAACAAGCAATTTATTTTCTAGCATGCAAGTCCCTTCCCCAGTTCCTCATTGGCTGAGTACTATGGGGTAGATAAATAATCTTTCCAGAGGATGCCTAAGTATATTTCCTTCTTTATGGTCTGGCCCTTTCTTAACATCTTGTTTCCACTTTAGCTCACATTCATTACTGTCCTTATGTTTTGAATTCACCAACAAAAGGAGCCAGGGCGAAACTCTGAGCATCCCACTTTCCCTTTGTTTGCGTGCTAGTAAATTTTCTTTCTTCCTCAAAGATAGCTACACTTAAAATGGACCACATTAACTTTTCATTTATTACATAGAGTGGTTAGAATATTTTGTATTCCTACTGGCAATGAATGAGTTCGTCTTGATTAACAACTTGACTAAAATTTGGGGTTGATGTCATTTTTTCCATGAAGTCAGGGGCATATTTCACCTTGCTATGACTACCACCAAGTCATCCACCCACACATCCACAGGGGTACTTTCATAAAAATAACGAACAACTCTTTGAAATAAAGACTGTCAGAAACTGCAGGAGGTAAAAATGGGCATTTATTGAATATATAGTATATTTAAAGCTTTCCTAAAACTACCCAGACATTTATAGTGATGGTAATTACAGAATCTCTACTCCTATTCCAAAGGATCCATATAACACGAACACACATTTTGTATGCGACGTTACAACCTAGATTTCTTTCAAGTGGCAAAGGGCTTCAACGAAAGCATAATTATTACATCATCAAGAGAATTCTGGCCTCAAACTTGAACAATAACCAACTGAGAGAATATATCACATAGTGATGGCAAGAAAATGTAGGGTGCAGGACATGTGGACTCAGAATTTGCTAGACTGCTGTGAAACTGGACTACAGGTGGACAGGATAGTTTGGATATCATCAAAGATATGACCTAATTGCCAAGAAGACACCTAAGAGGAGACAGCTGTTTCATCAACAGTCCAGTAGAGCCAACCCAGCTTGAAGGGTTTCGAGAGTATGGTCATAACATGGGCCTTTATAACATGCAAAGGGTGGACGTAGAGGCCCAGATCAGAGGGTGGTTGGTATTTCTAGAATAACAGTGCCATCAATCGGAAACCTTTTGAGCATGGCGTGCAGGCCCTTCCTGTGTATCCTGCTGAGGGAAAGCTCGTGGCTGAAAGAAGTGAGGGTCTAGAGAACTCAGAATATCCTGGGAGAACCTGGTGGCCTGCCACTTCACCAGAGAAGGTGTGGGAACAACAGGGGGTGGTGTTCTGGGGCCTGGCTCACCCACCAAGGAGCCCCTGGCTGTCAAGCGCTCGGGGGTGTGGCGTCAGCAGCGGCCATGTTCAGGAACAAGGCTCTGAAGCGCCTGCCCCAGGGCTCGTGGCCCATCCTGCAGGAAGCCTACTTTTGATAGGTTTACAAGGACTCAGGTTGCTGAACTAACCCTGCCTTTGCTCAGTCTTAGCATTAACGTGCACCTCCGTAGGACCAGGGTCAAGTGGATTAAGATACTTCGGAAAATCATCTTTCTCAAAGGCAAAGGAGTAAAACACAAAGTACACCAGGGAGTTCTCGTCCACACCCATCAGATGTGTGAAATCAGCTCCAGGAATAACAGGGCCCTTACCGGGCTCGAGTTGAAGTTACATTCAGGCGCCTGTGAACTTGCAAGTGTGTGATCGTTGAAACAAGCAGGGAAAACTTTTCTGATCACTACGATCATACAACTGTAGCCACTGAGTATACCTGAACACGCTAATAACCAGACAGTAAGCCGAGAAATTCGGTGAGAGACCTGCCTTGACAGAGGTGCCTACTGTACAGAAGCTGGTAACAGAACCAAAGCACGACTGAGGGCTGTATTCCGCACCTACGACAAGTGTGAAATCGGTGTCTGGTCTCGGTATATGCCTCAACGCTGGCTCCACACCAAGGCAACGTACGAGCTGTTGATCACACTCTTCTCTTACTTTAGCAAGCCCCCACCTGGAAAGGAAAGAGAATACCATTTTACAGCTTTGCCACATATGCAGATCAACATCCTCCAGTAAGAACTCAGCTTGAAAAACATAAGAAGCAAAACAAAAAACGCACCAGTCACCTCCTAGTTCCATTAACAGAAATCAAACAAAAACACCCTATCGAACCACACTACCTACCCTTAGCAGAAGTCTGCCTAAATGTCCAGATGGTCTGGACTTTGCACTGCAAACCCACTGTGACGTACGTGCCCGTGACCATTTAGTCGTCCGCAGAGTCACTTGCTGGGACTGAGGTTGCAGGTTAACATGCGGATGACCTTTCCTGCTTACCTAAACTAGTAGCCCTGAGGTTTGCGAAGTGAATAACCTGTTAGCCCCGCATCCACAGACACTCAAACGTTCTCCCGCTTACCACTTATTGATGCCCGTGAGGGATGGGTATCCTGGAACAAGGGCCACGTGACATAAGTCTAGGGTTTGTTCAGCACGCTCAGTCACCTAGCTGGAAACAACTCACCAAAGTGGACGGAGCCCCATAACTAAGAATGCTCTGTGGGGACCAATCTCGACACCTGTTCCAAAAGGATCCATTATTGCAGGAGTGCACACTATGATGCACGGGTAAAACCTGGATTTATTCCACGTGGCAAGGGGTTTCGACCAAACCCTAATTCGTGAATCATCGAAGTAATTCTGGTCCTAACTTTCATCAGTAACAACAAACTGACAGAATCCATCACATCCCGGTCACCCCAGGAACCAGTGGCCAGGACACAGGGCTCAGAGTTTCAGAAAATGCTGCTGATGCGGGCCAGCGCGGGCCGACTCCTCTGGATGTCCTTTTCTCTAAGGTCCTCTGGCCCAGGAGAGGCCCCAGGGACCAGACACCTCTTCCCCCAACATTCCAGTGGAGCCGACCCAGCTGGGCGGGTTTGGAAGGTTTGTTCGGCTACCGTGGGCCTTTTACAACACGCAAAGGGCGGAGGGAGAGGCCCAGCTCCAGAGGGCGCTTGGCGTTTCTCGGGCAGCCGTGCCATCAAGAGGAAACCTTTGGAGCATGGCATGCAGGCCCTTCCTGCGGATCCTGCTGGGGGAAGGCCTCTGACTACGAAGTGAGGGTCTGGAGCACGTAGAAGATCCTGGGCGAACCTGGCGGCCGGTCACCTGACCACAGCAGGTGTGGGAGGAACAGGTAGTGGTGTTCTGGGGCCTGGCTTACCCACCAAGGAGCCCCTGGCTGTCAAGCGCTCGGGGGCGTGGCGTAGGCAGCAGCCATGTTCAGGAACAAGGCTCTGAAGCGCCTGCCCCCGGCCACCTGGTCCATCCTGCAGGAAGGCTACTTTTGATAGGTCTACAACGACTCACGGTGCTGAACGGAGCCTGCCTCTGCCCAGTCTTAGGATTAAGGACACACCTCATTGGAACCAGAGTAAACTGGATTCATATCCTTCAGAAAATCATCTTTCTCAAAGGCAAAGGAGGAAACCAAACAGTACACCGGTGAGTTCTCTTCCATACCCATCAGACAGGTGAAATCGGCTCCAGGAAAATAATGGCCCTTGCCAGGCTCGAGTTAAAATGGAATTCAGGTGCCCTTGAACTTGAAAACGGTTGATAGTTGAATCAAGCAGGGAAAACTTTTCTGATCATTACGATGATACAACTGTAGCCACGAAGTATACCTGAACACGCTACTAACCAGACAGTAACCCGAGAAATTCGCTGAGAGACCTGCCCTGAGAGGGGTGGCCTACTGTACAGAAGCGGGTAACAGAACCAAAGCACAGCTGAGGGCTGTATTCCGCACCTACGACAAGTGGGAAATCAGTGTCTGGTCTCGGTCTATGCCTCAATGCTGGCTCCACACCAAGGTAACGAAGGAGCCGTTGATCACACTCTTTCCTTGATTCAGCAAGCCGCCACCTGGGAAGGAAAGAAAATACCATTTTGCACCTTTGCCATATATGCAGATCCACATCTTTCAGGAAGAATTCAGCTTGTGAAACAGAAGCAGCAAAACAAAAAACGCACCAGTCACCTACCTCCTAGTTCCATTCACAGAAAACAAACAAAGAAACCGGGTTGCAACCACACGACCTACCCTGAGGCGTAAAAGTGAAAGTGAAGTCCCTCAGTCAAGTCCAACTCTTTGCAAACCCATGCACTGTAGCCTAGTAGGCTCCTCCGTCCATGGGATATTGCAGGCAAAAATACTGGAGTGGGTTGCCATTTCCTTCTCCAGGAGAAGTCAGCCTAAATGTCCAGATGGTCTGGACCTTATTCTGGAAACCAACGGTGATGTAACTCACTGTGACCATTTAGTCACCTGTAGAGTCACTTCCTGGGAAGGAGGTTGCAGTTCCACATACTAATGACCTTTCCTGCTGACCTAAACGAGCAGCCCTGAGGTTTGCGAAATGAATAACCTGTTTAGCCCTGCATCCACGGATACACAACCGTTCTCACGCTTACCACTTACTGATTCCCGTGAGGGATGGATGGGTATCCTGGCACAAGGGCCACGTGACATAAGTCTAGGGTTTGTTCAGCACTCTCAGTCACCTAGCTGGAAACCAGTTACCAAAGTGGACGGAGCCCCATAACTAAGAATGCTCTGTGGGGACCAAACTCGACACCTGTTCCAAAAGCAGCCGTAATTCCAGGAGCGCACACTAGGGTGCATGGCTAGACCCTGGATTTCTTCCAACTGCCAAGGGTTTCCAACCAAACCCTAGTACGTGAATCATCAAGTTAATTCTGGTCCTAACCCTGATCAGTAACAACAAAGTGACAGAATCCATCACATCCCTGTTTCCCCAGGAAGCAGTGGCCAGGACACAGGGCTCAGTCTCAGACTGCTGTCGATATGGACCAGAGCTGGACGCCTCCTGTGGCTGTCCTTCTCTCTAGGGTCTTACTGCCCAGGAGAGCCCCCTAGAGAGGAGACACCTCTTCCCCCAACACTCCAGTGGAGCCAACCCAGCTGGGAGGGTTTGGAAGGTTTTTTTGCCTACCGTGGGCCTTTTTTAACACGCAAAGGGCGGAGGGAGAGGCCCAGCTCCAGAGGGTGGTTGGCATTTCTGGGGCAGCAGTGCCATCAGGCGGAAACCTTTTGAGCATGGCGTGCAGGCCCTTCCTCTGGATCCTGCTGGGGGAAGGCCCGTGACTGGACGAAGTGAGGGTCTGGAGCACTCAGAAGATCCTGGGAGAACCTGGTGGCCTGCCACTTCACCAGATCAGGTGTGGGACCAACAGGGGGTGGTGTTCTGGGGCCTGGCTCACCCACCAAGGAGCCCCTGGCTGTCAAGCGCTCGGGGCTGTGGCGTCAGCAGCGGCCATGTTCAGGAACAAGGCTCTGAAGCGCCTGCCCCAGGTCTCCTGGCCCATCCTGTAGGAAGCCTACTTTTGATAGGTTTACAAGGACTCAGGTTGCTGAACTCACCCTGCCTTTGCTCAGTCTTAGCATTAACGTGCACCTCCGTAGGACCAGGGTCAAGTGCATTAAGATACTTCGGAAAATCATCTTTCTCAAAGGCAAAGGAGTAAAACACAAAGTATACCAGGGAGTTCTCGTCCACACCCATCAGATGTGTGAAATCGGCTCCAGGAACAACACGGCCCTTACCGGGCTCGAGTTTAAGTTAAATTCAGGCGCCTTTGAACTTGCAAGTGTGTGATCGTTGAAACAAGCAGGGAAAACTTTTCTGATCACTACGATCATACAACTGTAGCCACTGAGTATACCTGAACACGCTACTAACCAGACAGTAACCTGAGAAATTCGGTGAGAGACCTGCCTTGAGAGAGGTGCCTGCTGTCCAGAAGCGGGTAACAGAACCAAAGCACGACTGAGGGCTGTATTCCGCACCTACGACAAGTGTGAAATCGGTGTCTGGTCTCGGTATATGCCTCAACGCTGGCTCCACACCAAGGCAACGTACGAGCTGTTGATCACACTCTTCTCTTACTTTAGCAAGCCCCCACCTGGAAAGGAAAGAGAATACCATTTTACAGCTTTGCCACATATGCAGATCAACATCCTCCAGTAAGAACTCAGCTTGAAAAACATAAGAAGCAAAACAAAAAACGCACCAGTCACCTCCTAGTTCCATTAACAGAAATCAAACAAAAACACCCTATCGAACCACACTACCTACCCTTAGCAGAAGTCTGCCTAAATGTCCAGATGGTCTGGACTTTGCACTGCAAACCCACTGTGACGTACGTGCCCGTGACCATTTAGTCGTCCGCAGAGTCACTTGCTGGGACTGAGGTTGCAGGTTAACATGCGGATGACCTTTCCTGCTTACCTAAACTAGTAGCCCTGAGGTTTGCGAAGTGAATAACCTGTTAGCCCCGCATCCACAGACACTCAAACGTTCTCCCGCTTACCACTTATTGATGCCCGTGAGGGATGGGTATCCTGGAACAAGGGCCACGTGACATAAGTCTAGGGTTTGTTCAGCACGCTCAGTCACCTAGCTGGAAACAACTCACCAAAGTGGACGGAGCCCCATAACTAAGAATGCTCTGTGGGGACCAATCTCGACACCTGTTCCAAAAGGATCCATTATTGCAGGAGTGCACACTATGATGCACGGGTAAAACCTGGATTTATTCCACGTGGCAAGGGGTTTCGACCAAACCCTAATATGTGAATCATCGAGGGAATTCTGGTCCTAACTCTCATCAGTAACAACAAACTGACAGAATCCATCACATCCCGGTCTCCCCAGGAACCAGTGGCCAGGACACAGGGCTCAGAGTTTCAGACACTGCTGCTGATGCGGGCCAGCGCGGGCCGGCTCCTCTGGATGTCCTTGTCTCTATGGTCTTCTGGCCCAGGAGAGGCCCCAGGGACCAGACACCTCTTCCCCCAACATTCCAGTGGAGCCGACCCAGCTGGGCGGGTTTGGAAGGTTTGTTCGGCTACCGTGGGCCTTTTACAACACGCAAAGGGCGGAGGGAGAGGCCCAGCTCCAGAGGGCGCTTGGCGTTTCTCGGGCAGCCGTGCCATCAAGAGGAAACCTTTGGAGCATGGCATGCAGGCCCTTCCTGCGGATCCTGCTGGGGGAAGGCCTCTGACTCTACGAAGTGAGGGTCTGGAGCACGTAGAAGATCCTGGGCGAACCTGGCGGCCGGTCACCTGACCACAGCAGGTGTGGGAGGAACAGGTAGTGGTGTTCTGGGGCCTGGCTTACCCACCAAGGAGCCCCTGGCTGTCAAGCGCTCGGGGGCGTGGCGTAGGCAGCAGCCATGTTCAGGAACAAGGCTCTGAAGCGCCTGCCCCCGGCCACCTGGTCCATCCTGCAGGAAGGCTACTTTTGATAGGTCTACAACGACTCACGGTGCTGAACGGAGCCTGCCTCTGCCCAGTCTTAGGATTAAGGACACACCTCATTGGAACCAGAGTAAACTGGATTCATATCCTTCAGAAAATCATCTTTCTCAAAGGCAAAGGAGGAAACCAAACAGTACACCGGTGAGTTCTCTTCCATACCCATCAGACAGGTGAAATCGGCTCCAGGAAAATAATGGCCCTTGCCAGGCTCGAGTTAAAATGGAATTCAGGTGCCCTTGAACTTGAAAACGGTTGATAGTTGAATCAAGCAGGGAAAACTTTTCTGATCACTACGATGATACAACTGTAGCCACGAAGTATACCTGAACACGCTACTAACCAGACAGTAACCCGAGAAATTCGCTGAGAGACCTGCCCTGAGAGGGGTGGCCTACTCTACAGAAGCGGGTAACAGAACCAAAGCACAGCTGAGGGCTGTATTCCGCACCTACGACAAGTGGGAAATCAGTGTCTGGTCTCGGTCTATGCCTCAATGCTGGCTCCACACCAAGGTAACGAAGGAGCCGTTGATCACACTCTTTCCTTGATTCAGCAAGCCGCCACCTGGGAAGGAAAGAAAATACCATTTTGCACCTTTGCCATATATGCAGATCCACATCTTTCAGGAAGAATTCAGCTTGTGAAACAGAAGCAGCAAAACAAAAAACGCACCAGTCACCTACCTCCTAGTTCCATTCACAGAAAACAAACAAAGAAACCGGGTTGCAACCACACGACCTACCCTGAGGCGTAAAAGTGAAAGT